CGGGGGAGGAAGGGAGGAAGGGAGGGGGGAGGGGAGCGACGCGCGAGCGAATAGAGACGGAGGGTGCAGCGAGCACGGGATACATATGGTTTCCAAGTGGCGGCTGGCCGTGTGGAGCGTACACGCGCGAAGGGATCGAAAGGGGCTTCTTGACACGCATGTGCAACGCCGCCGTCAGTCGAGTTTGTTCGCCCCCAGCTGATGTCGAGCTCCTTCGGAAGTTGGCGTCACCCTCGTTTCGGACTCGGTTCTGGAGGGCTCGTTGTTAACGTACGGATATTTTGGCTTGCGTAGCTTCTTACAAGCCCAGGCGTTCGAGGATTTATCACGAATTTGCAAACTGCAGAACCAACGCGTGAGTACGCAACTTAAGTAGAAGGATTTTTCAAAAGAGGCGGGGAGGGGGGGGGGGGGGAAGGAGGAGGTCTCTTTAAATCAGATTTATTTAGACGGCTTCGCTTACAAGCGTAGTGTGTCCCGCATCTGTGTGAATAATGGATATAAATATAGACGTTGTCATAGTGACAGAGTCGAACTATACTAGGCGTACATGCATAGGAATTATCGAAGATCGATCATTTTGTTTCTAATAGCGCGAGCTGTTGGCTCTATCTCTCTTTTCTTTTCTGTTTTGTTTTTTTTTTATTTTTATTTTTTTTAAATCGTCAATTATTGTACGTGAAAAGTATGCGTTTGCTCCTCATCGAGTGAACTGTAATTGTCCCCTCGTTCTTTTTGGGACTTATATATATATATATATATACGTATAATACGGGTAAATTAATCTTCATAGAGTCGTTATTCAATAATTGTATTAACAACAGTTTCGATTGAAATTCAAGCATATACGTGTATTAAAAGTGTATACGTATACATAATCATTTTTTTAATTTGTAATGCTTTTTGAAATGTAAAGTCTTTGAAATGTATCATTTTTAAATGTCATTCCCGTTTTTATAAGTATGTAATTAAACAAAAAATCAATACTCAAGGTTTTAATTTGCTACTTTTTATACAATTTTTTTTTATTTATAGCTTTAATTACAAATGGCGATGGGATAATGAAAAAAATTATTTAAAAACAAAAAAGAAAAGGAAAAGAAAGAAAAAGAAAAAACGTATAACTCTAGTAAGAAGTATGCACTTCGTCGGTAAATATATGGAAAGAAACTGCAAATAAATAAGCACTTGAATTTACGTAAAAATTAACGAGGCTCGCATTAATTTAATTTTTTTTTCTTCTTTTTTTTTTTCTTCGCATTCAACTCACATTAGGTTATTCATTTATTTATTTATGCTTCAAATCGACATAGAAGCGAATAAGTTACGTTAAAACGGAATTAGTTTGTCTTTTTCCTTTTCAGCGAAAATATTAGACACAGCACTACATAATGATAAAATTAATGACATTAAATTGCTATACGCGAATAAAAACGTATTGCAATATAATCAATAAATTAAGTACTTCTCTTTTTACTAATTGCCTAGAGGCTTCGATCGACAATTATCGAATACATAAATAAACGTCACGATAGATGGGAAATTGTCGTGTCTCTCATAAGACTTAAATTAATATACAATTGATATTTATCAAGGATTTCTTTGTACTTCTCGTCAGGCAGGATTATCAAAGTGAAAAGAAGAGAGAAAAAAAAATGATTCCACGCAGTGAAGATTCGTGGTTAAGTGGCCAGACATCGTCAATAGTCGCCGCATCCGGCAACGACACCAATCAACTGCTGCTGCATAGATGTGACGTTGCCGAGACGAAGCGGCTGACCGCCTGGAAGCGGTATCGCTACCTCGTGGAAGCAATGGAGTCCAGGGGTCAGAAGTTTAACCAGAAGCTCATGCTCGAAGCTATGTTTCGCGGCAATAACCTTGTTTATAGTGCAACCGATAATTGTAATGTGTCTTGAGTTTTGTAATAAGAATTTTAGTGAATTTAACGTTGGGTCTTCGGAGAATAACAACAAAAGAAATAAGCAAGCAAAAAAAAACAAAAAAAAACAAAAAAAACAAAAACAAAAACAAAACAAAAATAAAAAAAAAAAAGCAAAAAAAAACAGATGCTTTGTTCGACGAATCAAAAATGCAATTATTCTTAATCTAGGCGGTTGTAATTTACTTGAAATTTCCATTTAAAAGAAGTTATATTACTTATTTCAAAAATTCACATCGATGCTTCACGATCGTAATGACGAGAGCGAATATTCTTTCAATTCAATGCTTTTAGTTGATGGAGCATATTGTAATTAATGACCTGCGAAAGGAACGATGTTATCTTACGTTTAGCCGCTTAAGTTATTAAATTATTGGAGCATCATTAATTCTTTTTACTGTTGCTAGTCACAAGTTTTATTTAAATAATGTATACTGGAAGATACGTAGTTATTTAACATTACTTTTTTTTTTTTTTTTTTTTTAAGTATTTTGAGGTCATGCTCGATAAATTATAATTTAATTTTAAAGCGCTTTAATATTATTTATGCATTATGATATTTATTAAATGCGCTATGAATTTAATTCATAATCCGTATGATGCCGTGAATTCATAAACAATTGAATATTCATTAAACGGTAAATTTTCTACTTATATATTGAAGAAAATTTGAATGTGATGGTTTTAATTAAGCTAATGGATTAATAAAACATAAACAAGTGTATTCGAGTAGCTTTTAATAATAGTGCGCGCGCGTATAATAATAAAAGAAAATTTGTGCAAAAGGAAAAGGAATTTTATTGCCTATAAATTGCAATGTATACGGCGACTCTACATAAATATGAATAATATGAATTCAAAATAAATGATGATTAACATTAGTGAAATTGATTTAATTAATTAATTTACGTAATTTAATTGCAATTAACATTAAAGAGTTTGCTTTAAATTTTACTCTCAGAGTGTAATGAAGGATTTCCAATCCTACCATGAGACTGTCAATAAAATTGTTTTGTCCTAATACAATCGAATGATATTACTGCAATGGCATACTATTAGTACAAAACAGCAAATATAAAGCTTAAAATTTATATTAATTTATAATGCTTTATTTCCATAATGTTCAATTTGTAAAATTAACGAAGCATTATAATTATGATAGAAACGTACCTAGTCTGTATAGAATAGTATATGTGAGCACGTATTCTTATACATACATTGGAGTCGATTATTTATTAAAGTTTTTCATTTTTCAATGAATTGGTAACTATTAATCAATATAAAATATTATTGACGTTGTCACAATATTATTTTAAATACTACATTTGTCGTTTGTAACAAACAAAAAAAAAAAAAAAAAAAAAAAAAAAAAAAAAAACAAGAAAAAAAAAAACATTTTAATCGTGACAATAATTTATGTTCGTGGCAATATTTTTGTACGTTAATTATTATATATTTATGCTATGTAATCATAAATTAAATTATAATAATAAATTATTATCAAAATATATAAATATTGTTTTTTTTTTAATTACATACTGAAATATGAGTAAATGATATTCCATTTTTTTTTTTTTTTTTTTTTTTTTTTTTTCATATCAACGACTCCCTGACAAGTTTTAAATTATAGAATTATTTCTTGTCTTTTACTATTAAAAAGGAAACACCTAACTTTATGAATTTATGAAAAAAGATGGATGAAAAGGGTAGATTAAATGCAAAATAAAATCTTCGATTTTGTCTTCATAACTTAGTATTTTATTACACAATTCCGTCATGCAATAACCAATTATTACTTTATAATAATAATACAAAAGTATCATACGGTTATTTTCATTCACAAGCTAATATTTAACGTTTATGAAATACGCACGTATTTCTTGATTTTATTACGTACTAAATATATATGCTTACAACTTTTAAGCCTATAAATAAAATACATATAATGGCATCGTTTCTGCTTTACTATAAGCAATACCAACGGTAGCTTTAAGTAAACTTTCTTTGTTTTTTATTGCGTACGCACAGAATAATACTTTTTATTCGTCTACTTTATTTTGTTATTTTTTTCGAAATAAAAACACCCGATATGTGCGTCATGTTCGTCATGTTTTTCAATAAGTACGAAATCTAATGCACCGTGATTTTATCCGAATTGAAGACAAAGTTTTTTTTATGTAAGCGATAAAATATATTTTTAGACAAATAATTCTCTAAGCTACAAGGTACTTTTAACTATTAAGTAATGAAATTAATTTCTATTGTAATTTATTTTAATTTTGTCCAAATAATGAAAATTCTGCCTGATCAAATTCTTTTAGTACAATATTTCATATATACTTTCGTATAATAGATTCATTATATGCTGACATTTATACTTCTATTATTTAATGTTTCTCAAGAACCTTTATGGTTATGAGATATAAAAGTTCGACTAAAATTTAATCGAAATACAATTAAATTATTGTAAAAATTATTTATCATTTGTATTTAAATAGAGTAGTGAAGATGATTTGATCTTGAATTAATTATCGACATAAATTTTCGTTAGTTGTTTTAACTACAAATCACTCTCCGAGTGTAATGTTGTCGCATTTAGATAACAGTTTTGCTAATGTGACAAATTAACTGTGATAGCCATTTTTTTTTTTTTTTTTTTTTTTTTTAAATAATCTTTAAGAGTTGTTGAAGACAAATTCTATAGAAATAAATATAATATAAATTTTAATAAAGGTGTATAATTGTATAATGTATGATGTACGAATAGAGGCATTATCAAATATTGTCCAAGCAATTATTAAAAAATAAAAAAAAAAAAAAAAAAAAAAAAAAAAAAAAAAAAAAAAAAAAAAAATAGCAACTATTACCAAATTATAATTATAAATTTGCTTTACAATTGATATAGATATCAACGAAAATTGGCTATCGATAACGCTATAAAGTTAAAAATCTAATTATATTCTACAAATGGAAGCCGTTTTGTAAAAATCAAAAAAAAAAATCAAAAAAAAAATCAAAAAAAAAATCAAAAAAAAATCAAAAAATAAATAAGAAAAAAAGGATATTCTTATGAACGAGGTATTTGACGAACAAAGAGACACTAGAAAATAATAAAAAAAAAACCTGATCAAATAAAATCGACGAATTTATCTCGTTAGCCGAAATGAGTAAGTAATAAAGTGAAATAAGTAATTCGACGATCGCCCGATCTCAAGATGGTAAAATATCAAGCTCGAGTCCACCTTGCAGAGCCGCACTCTTATTGATGAAAGTGGAATGCCTTGGTAAGGTAGCGATGGGATTGGTCTCCTTAAATCTCTTAACCTTGTCGGTCCTGTCGATTTCCCGAGCGGACTCGGAGCTCAACCTCGGATGGCTCGGCCGTTTAGTCATCGAGTTACGCTTATTCTGGCTGCTCTCGTCACAGTAATTCAGCACCGTTTGCATAGAGACGGTGTTCCGTCTCTCGTCGTAAAGGGATCGTGGATTTAGAGGTACTTCGCGGGTCGAGCCTCCGAAGCGATCGACATTTTTGAAGGGTAGCAAGCAATCAGGGGCCAGGGTTACATCTTTACCCGGACTCCCGGACATTTGGCAGCCCGTGGAGTCTGCTGATACAGCCGATGTCGTTCCTCCGACGACACTGTAGTCCGATGGTGCGTTTTCGGTTACTCGCTTCTCAATTTTGATCTCGGTCAGCTGCGAATAAGCATCTCATACATAAATATATGTCTAATTGTGTTATATTCAATTATATGCAGAATTATCATAAGTAAGAAATCAAAATATAATTTTCAACAAACGAATAAAAGTCTTTGTTGGACTTAATGGAAGACATTATAGGCGCGCGCGTTCAATTATATATGCCTGTCTTATTAATTTCCAAATTAAAAACTTCTTTTTCTGTTTGATAGCGATAAGTCAAATAGCTCAATAAATAAGACACAAAAATTTCAAGTCATTTTTATTTAAAAGATATAATATTAAATGGAAAATGTTCTCGATTTAAATTTTAAGAAATTTACACGAATTTGGTGAATTAATGGTGCTGGCATCTCGTTTAATAGCTTTTCCCACCCAATTGACTTTAATGGAAAATACAGTTTAAAATTAATTTTGCAAAGTATTAGAGACTATAGGTCAAACCTGATTTTGTCGAATAAGTATATCGGGTGCGGCTTCGGGTAGCGGTTCCTGCGACAAAGGTGGCCATTCATGATTGTTTCTCATATTTCTTTCGTACATCAGAAACTTCCTACGCGACTTGTCGACATTGTGCAGTTTTTTCCTTAGCTTCGAAAACACTAGATATTCAATGACAAAGTACTCGACGAACATCGATATTAAAAAATTTGCTAATCCATAAGCCAGTAGAATGAATCTAAATTCCAAGTCTTCGGGTAGCACAAGTTCAAACCACTCAGCAAGTTGCTCGAATGGTCCAATTGACAAATAGGCCGAGAACGAGCTCAATAGCACAAAGGATGCTAATGGGAGAAAAAACAAACAAATTTTTTTTTTTTTTTTTTTTTTTTTTTTTTTTATTAATTTTTACCCGCTCATTTTTATCACTCGAATTTCATAGAAAATTGCCATTTCCAACGATATTACACTTTATTTAGGATTTAATACTAAGTTAATTAATTTAATTACAATTTAAATTTCAATATACAAATTCGCGGTTAATCATTACGGATTAGATAGATTACAATTAATGGTCATATTTTATAATATTTCTTGTAATGCTATATTATATGAATTAAATGAACAAAAGTCGTGGTGGGAAGTAGTTTTATATTTAAATTTTGATATTTACCCAATAATCCATAATTTGTCCAAATGGCTTTTCTATATGGTCGGCCCTTGGAGAAAACAACTGCAAGAATGATATATTGAATCGAGCTAACGATAAATATTGTATAATTTTCCAAACAACCCACGTCATCTTTATTTTCTGCAGTCGCATTGAATGGCACGAACCATTCCATATGCCGTAGGTTCCATAAGCTTAAATACTGAAAAATGCTCACGATGACGATTTGTGCGAATAAACTGAGAATCGGCGTGACGCTGATTAGACTCGTAAGCGGTGGTATCTTGTTTAACGGGCCATCGTATGCTTCTGTCTTGCCGAAAAAGAAAGCAAATATGGAGATGATAAAGAGGTCAATGTAAAGAAACTCGATGTCCGTAAGATTGGATTCAATACTGTAAAGCAGCATAACGGAAATAAACTGGGTGAGAGAGTAGGCGGCCATGTATTTGAAGATTCCAAAGGAGGTGACAAGAGCGGCTCGACCTTCGCGTATGACGCTCAATACACAAGAAATATTGGTCTCGCGGCTGGTGAACGGAGATGCTACCGATGACTCGGTATCCGATAGGGAGATGCCAGTGTGCGCGGCTTTCAGAGCGCCACAGTCGTTTGCACCGTCGCCAACCATTGCTGAGCAAAAAATGTTTATTAGTAAAACTAAATTATTAAAACTATCGAGTTATGGATTGTTGCGTTTTGTTTCATAATCCATGTTCTCTTACTAAATCCTTACTTAATCGAATAAGTTGAACATGTATTTTTTAAATTAACGAACCAATAGTAATAATATGAATATAAGGATCTTTACCTACGTAGTAACCCAGTGCTTGCAATTCTTGTACAAGCTGTTGCTTTTGATCGGGAGACATTCTGGCGAAAATTGTTCCACGTGTTGTTAATTTCGGTATCAATTCAGGATAAAATTGCTTTATAAGAGCCCAAGTTTTTCCCGTCAAAGAAAACACGTAATCATTTTTTCTTGCATTATTTCGGCTTTTACCGCTCCGCTGAAGACTGAAAGTAAATTGATATTTACAATGCGTTATACATCTATTGCCATTTAAACATTTTTCAAAATTAATTATTCGTTTAATAAACATTACAGTTTTCTACAATGTTCATCAAGAAGTGTGATTCGAATAATCCAGAATTCAATATGTTCAATGGCAATTTCAATCGTATTAAAGTTAATATTACTGAGCCATTAATTGTCAAACAAATTAATGAGAAAACTCACTCGTCCGACAGATAATTGAGTACAGGATCGACTCTGCCATTGGTTCCATATACGCCTCCGCTTTCAATGGTTTCCAAACTAACGACGCTATTGATGTCGGTAATCTCGCTGAAATCTGTCATTTCGGGTCCGACAATAGTAGGCGATAAGTGATTCTGACTCGATTGGGTAAAACTTCGCGTAAAATACAATTGGGGTTTCATCTGATTTTGCTGGGTGACAGCGGTTACTGCGATTACCGGCATTTTAGACTTGACGATGTCGCAGTCTCGAGCTACGGATAGAGCCGTGAGCATATTATCTCCAGTGACCATAACAACTTTGATAGCGGCATCGTTGAGGGCCGCGATCATCGGCATCGTTTCTGGCTTTAGACGATTTTCCAGTATAACGAAGGCCAGGAACGTAAGCTCGGTTTCAGCAGCTTCGCGAGTTATGCGTTGTACCTTGGCATAGGGAAGGCGTTTTAACGATTTATGGGCTAATGCAATCACGCGATAACCCTCTGATGTATACTCTTGTAAAACACTGTTAAAATCATGTGGCACTACGAGAAAAATTTAATACAAATATTTATTTACAAGATTGTCGATTATGTGCATTATATGCATTATATGGATATTAACAACAATACTCAAACAAAAAAATACTTTGATGCATTATGTAAAACACCCTCATCTCCCTCCTTCTCATTCTCACACGAAAGCGTATGTGATTTGGTATATTATGAAATGAAATTAACGACTCACCAGATTCTGGTTTTGATAAGCTGAGAATCATTTCTGGACTACCCTTGCAGTATAAATCGTAATGGTCTGCCCCGAGAGTTCTTGTAATAACACTCATACGCTGTAGACTCGAGGTAAATGGAAATTGTCGGACGATCCCAATCTCCACTCCGCCTTCGGTTAAATGATCGTCACCCGTCTCTGGTAAATTCTCGACGACGCCGGATTCGACCTCGTCGTTGCTACGCGACAATGGTACAGTAGTAATTGAAACTTTATTAGATGCTGAATTCGAAGGCCTGACAATTGTTGGAAAGAGCATAGAGAATTTGGAAGTATCGGAAACATTAGGCTCCTCCAACACCCATCCCGTCGACTCGAACATTTTCAAATCTAATGGATCGCCAATTAATTGCCCATCTATAATTGTGATTGAATGGCAGGTGACCATTCCTATAAGAATTTCATTTAACGCCAAGCTTGAAATATCCTTGATGGGTAATTGGAACTTATTCGAGGTGACCATAACCACTCCCCACATATCCAAACCATCCTCGGTTAATGTTCCAGTTTTGTCAAAACAAACACAATCGATAGATCCCGAAACATTGATCGCCCTCGGACTTGTGCAGTAAATTTTGTGTTTTTCCAACCGATTCTGTGCCACTAATTAATCGAAAAAAATTTATGTTCATTCTCATACAATAACGACATACAACATACACAATATACAATACAAACATACATTATTACAAACATCTATTATTACATCATAATACAATCTTAAGCTTCCAAACTGTATTGCAATTTTAAAATACAGAATTATTATATAACATACTCTCTATATAATAATAATAATATTGTATTTGTTTTAAAATCTTTTTTCAAAGTTCTTATGCTTTATAATAATTATTCGCTATATCATTTATACGATTCAATTTTAGTATTTTGCAACTAAATTAGTGTAAAAGTGTTTCTATTAAAATAGCTTACTCGCGAATTAAATCTGTTATCGTTTACGCACTATACTGTTAAGTAAAATTACAATGCAGTGTGAAGGACGAACATGAAGTAATAAGAATTAAATATTCATTAGCCCACCTAATCTGCCGACCGTCATTGCAGCAGGAAGAGCTGGTGGTACAACTATGGTTATAAGATCCAGAGCCTCGAGAGCAATGTGACTGCTAGGCACACCACGTAGAGCCTTAGTAATAATGGTATATATGACACCGATACTTGCAATACAGGCAAGAAGTTCAACAAATTTATAAGAATCTTGCTCAAATTTAAAATCAACGGGAGGAGGGTACATGATAGAGCGAACAAGACCACCCTTGCTCGTATTGAAGCCCGTGCGAATGACTACTGCCAACACCTGACGAAACAAGTAGTTCAAAATTATGCAATGAAATAAGTAATGAAAATACAAATTTTAAACTTTTATCTATAACGAAGAAATGCAATCCATTTGACAATTTAAAGGATAATTTGAAATTACTTAAGAATAATAGTTTACTAAGTGTTTTTTAGGATTATAGAAAAATACAATATCACATAATAATAATATAATTAATTGCAGCAAGACCCAAGAAGTATAAGAAACTAAAATAATTTTAAATATCAACTTTCATTACCTTCTCAGTACCGAAATAACGTGTTTGTAAAACTCGTGTACCACAATATAGCGTGTGTCTTGCGTGCTCCTTGCTATCGTAGACAATATCACTAGCTGCTGGTATCGGCGTTTTGGTGACGGGTACCGATTCTCCCGTTAACATCGATTCATTTAAGATACAATTACCCGTTAGTAAAACCGCGTCGCAGGGTAATACACAACCGTACGACGGTATAACAAGTATGTCACCAGGCACTAGATATTTGGCTGATACAGTGGCCGTTGAGCCTGTAGAACGATCGCGTAGAACAGTTGCCACGTCTGAAGAGGAAACCGTCGAACGAAGATTGCGCTGGTTCTGCAAAAAATATCGAATAAATAAGTAATTGTATTTAACAATGTATGAAAGATAAAATGGGAATTTTTTCTTTTAATATAATACGTTTTTCATATATGACAGACATTGATTATTTGCAATAAGCAATAGTAATGACCGTTAAATATATTTTTAGCTAATAAAAAGAATGGTTGCTGTTCTATAAATTAAATTCCTATTTAAATTCTTACATTAAAAGGAACTTGATATAATTGTAAAGTTTAATTAAATATAAGGAAAGTTAAGATTTATGATACCGTCAATGCATATTTTACTTACAAGAAAATTCTAATTGAGTCATAAAAATTAACAAAAATGAATAAAAAATTTGTTATAACAAGTTCGCAAACCACTGTAATAAGCCATAAATATTTTAAATAATCAACGACCTTCGTCACTAAACTTTAATAGGGATACTCAGATACTTGATAGATTAAATAAATGGATAATTAACAAATTTATTACCCTTCGAGTTTGCAAGACGGCCATTATAACACCGCAGGCGGACATACACAAAATCACCATAGCATAATAAACATAATCATCGGAGATCCAAAGGCAAAAGCTGAATAATTGGAAGACGTAAAAAGGATTAAGGACTTCGAGTCCAAGAAGTGTTAGGAAGCCTTTAACAGGTACAACAATCTCATTGTTTCCATACACTCCACGTCGCATGCTTTGTTGTTTTGCACTCAGTTCTGGTGTCTGGTGTAACGTTGAGCTCAAAACACGTGTATCAAGACCACGAAGTTTTAAATACTCACACTTTTCAGTATCCCAAACATAAATGAGCTTCTTACATGTGAATATATGCATCCATTGCACCTCTACATACACAAAAAACAATGGCAAGCTTTTAAATTTGAAGAATATAATTTTTTATCCTAACCAGATAATAATCCATTTTGTAAAGAATATATAATTCACTCGAGCAATCTATTTCACCCGTTTAAATTAATTAATTGCAACTAAGCATTTGGATTGTACAAACACAAGAACGATAAAATAAATGTGTATTATAATGTTTTTAGCTACATACAAAAAAAATATATTGCAAGAAGCTTGAAACAAACCTCTAAATTGACCACCGGACAAATGAAAGGATAATGGCATTAAAGTTTGTTCTTGATTCTGTTCTTGTTCTATTGTAATAGGACTGTGTGGCTCAAATCGTGAATTATTCACTTTTTCTGGTAACTCTTCCTCGAATATACTGTTTTCACAAAACTCTTTCCTTTATTCAACATAAACAAATACATATTAATGTATATTAAAAACAGTCGATTTGAAGATATAAATCTTTTAAAAATCCATTATATATAATAAAAATAATTTATACTATAATTTAGCTAAATTCAACTTTTACCTAAATTTAATGAATAAGCCAGAGACGCACGTGTCATATCTTAGAAAATAAATAATAAATGATATTTTAATTTGACATAAAAAATTTTTATATTCGAAATAAATTTATATGATTTATAACAAGTGACAATGTAACATACGAAAATTTCTTTACTACATACACGTTCTTACTTTACTGATATTTCAATAATAATAAAACGTGGTCAAATAAATGCAACTTTTGTAGTATATCTGAATGAATATTTTAAGTAAAATTTTGGACGTAAGATTTATATATGAATACGATTTCTTGTTAAGCATGAGAATTTTTGTAAAAGTAAAATTTATATTTTATATTCAAATCGAAGATCTGCTATATATAATATTATATAAATAATATATACCATACGTCTTCAGCTGTCACAATTTTGATTTTTTTAACATGATAGCTTATATGTTTTCCTTGAAATTTTTCTAACAACAAAACTGTTTCTGCTTCCTCGAGAGAACATTTTGAATGGGTTGCTAATAACATAAGATGTGGCACCCAATGAAAGATAAGTCTTAACAGTCCACCTGTAATAATTATCAGGAACCATGTCGCGGCAGTGTACGCTGTATTTCTTCTATACCTGAGTTATTTATTAAATCACAACCAGTTATTAACTTAAAACGATTTAATAATGATTATCAGAATAATTAATTAACTTTTTTATTTATACTAATTATGTTTCTATGTAAGTAAAGGTTTACTTGTTTAATTTCTGTATATTTAATATGTTTTATAAATGAAATAAAAGAAAGTACAAATATTAAGTGGTTTACTTTATTAATAAAAACAAACATTAATAATTCTGATTAAAATCATTAGAGACATTAGTAATTTATTATTTACCCATAAATTTCCATCTGATCTTCTTCACCGGGATTAACATAATCTATGCCACTCTTCAAATGAAGAAGGCCATTACCTCTATTTCCTATAATAACAAATTCAGAATTAATATTGTTCATAAGAAACGTGCAATTGAAGATATAATTGAAATAGAAAGAAAATTTATCATTTAATTTTTAATAATTTGTATAATAATTATTTAGCTGGATAAATAAATATGTGTGGATTATAAAAAACGAAGAAAAAAATGTAATATTGATTTTTTAAATCTAGTTTCTTACCCTCTAAAAGTTCAGTTTTTTGCTCTCGTTGTTGTTCTACATTATCATTATTCGTGTGTGTTCCAAAAACACTATAATTATTTCTGTTAAAATTGAGGGAAAGCTTATTTGGCGTAGTTGGCATTTTTGGACAATAACTTTATTTTTTCAACAAAGTTTGCTTATAATCTTTTAGTTATTAAATATATATATATATATATATATATATACATATACATAAAGATATATATATATATGTGTGTGTATATATATATATATATATATGTATGTATTACTCATTCATTCGTACGTATGTAAACAAATGTATCCATATGTATATATATATATATATATATACACATATATATATATACGCACGTGCGCACGCATATATTCATTTACACACATATATACATGAATATTTATGTATATATAATATTATATTACTACAGTAAATGAATATTCTTTGGTTTAACTTTTCAAATGACAATTACATACATAGTATGTAATGTCATCAAAGTCCAATATGCTATATATGTCAAATGCCCGACAGCTGATTATAAATAGGAACTCAAAATAAAGTAAACTGTCTGCTACCGATACCAATCAACTGTCATTTTGAAGTTATTTTCTGATATTCTTTCAATGATCAATCTATGATAATAGTTTTGCATTTGACAAAAGCTACTGCTATCGCTTAACGTTTTCTGTTGTGAAGTTGGTGTCTTGTCAGTCACCAGGATCAGTAAGTTTCCTCCACCCAATTTGAAAGTCAAGGATAATTTGCGCAAATTTGCTCATGCCTTGCTGTAATATTACAGTGTGCGAGTATTCCACGTTATTCAACCAAAAGATGTCTCGATCAAATAAGAAGGCACTTACTGAACGAAGTCCAATAGCTAGTTAAAAATTGAAGTAAGCAATGTTATAAACATAATACACTGGCCTACGCTATGAACTTCCATAGGATATTGGTTCATAAAAACTTTAAAAATAATTATTTATTAAATAACACGCTCGTTTGCAAAGTGCTATGATGTATATTCAATGCTTTATAAACATAATTGATGTAATCGAATCAGTCGTATCGAAGCTCAAATGATTTAAAACCTATAAATGCTAATTTTGTATAAAGTCTAAAATTACTTCTTGCGTGTCATGTTAATAATTAATTTTAAAGTGTTAGTATTAATATCTTATCAACGGTTTAATATACCTTTGATTGGCTGAAAACAGAAATGAGACTTTGTTGTAATTGGTCTTATATACTCTATCTTTTTAATTTGTTCGCTGCTGCAAAATCTCAAATACATTACGGGTTAGAATATATTTCGAGTAAGTAGTTGGTTAACTAAACGTCTTGTAAGAAATAAAATTGAATTGATTCAGACCACTTAACACTTATTTCACTGACCACGCACTATGATATTTTTAATTAAGAAAGATGAAATAAGCAATCCCTCGGTCCTCTTAAACTTGTATCACACGCAAACTTATATCTCACTAAGCTTCAAGTAAATTAATTTCACAAAGGCATAAAATATGCATGTGCATATGTATATATATATATAAACGAACTCGGTAACACAGACACATAGGCATATATATTTAGGATATAGGTATAGCTATGCACATATATGTATATAGATACGCATGCGTATATATATATATATATATATATATATATATATATATATATGTATATGTATATATGTATATGTATATGTATATGTATATATGTATAAATCTATATATATACCAAAGATTTAACTAAGCAGAAAGTAAAATTGTAAAAGTAAAAGTACACGTTAACAATTTTAGCCGACTGTAAAGAGTTAAATGTATTTTTAAATTATTTAGACGATACAGTATTTAAATACAGCTATACCCGCCACGGGACTTCTAAGAACACGAAATTCCATAACAACGTGATCATTCATTCCTTCTATAAATATTTTGTACATGACGATAATCGAATGTAGTAAATTTTATTAATCGGGTTTGCAATACTTGAAATAAAAATGGATAAAGCTGTGCCGAATTAATGAGCAATAAGTCGACCTTGAGTGACGAATATGATTCGGAAATAATGAAAGTCAACACCACATCTATAATATTATGCCGTCTTCCTCCTGGCCGTTGAGAATTACACTTTTATTTCACATTCGTCTTAGCTCTGCAGATGAACCAACCTCGCGGGATATTTCAATAATGTACTGTGCCGCTTCTCGAAGCAAATCTATTAAATATACAATAGATCAACATAATCGAAAAGCTTCTCAACAGTTATATGACCATTGCCAGTGTGCTTATATTAAGCACAGATCAATATGGCGAGTATGAAATCAATTGCTTCTTCATTTAACATTTGGTGAAAATGTGTGTTGGAGCCCACGGAATAACACCGAGAATAAAAACGTATTCGCGCACCGCACCCACCGCACTTCCGAAACCTTCTCCCTGCGCCTTGACCTCCTTTTCTCTCAAATCTCAAAAGCCAATTCGATTCCCGGACGTCCCTACGACGAAAGACGGGGTTGCTCCTAGCTTTTCGGCAGCTCCTCGTAGCCTGCCAAGCGCAGACTACAATGTCAATGATAATAATTTACAAGCAATTAAACAACCACCGAGCCCTTATGACCGTAGGGCACGTGTCCAAGTCGGTACTCGACCAATTCTAAAAATACGATTCGCCGATTTATTAATTTCTCACCGACAAAGTTCTCGACTATCGCGTCATAAGTGCATCAGCAGACGAAACTGACCGAACGACTGCCTAGACGCCGTTACGGTATTATCCGCATTACCGAGACAGTTAGTTCCGTGATCACAAGCGCCCGATCGAATATGCGTACGCAAATAATTCAGGGGAACGCAGATGCGCGCCTTATTCTCACAATTATTCGTCATAGAATGACGCACAACTGACGGGGGAGCACTAATGACGGCCGACAGTGGACGTACTTTTTAGCAGAAAACGCTTAACAGTGGATCTTCCCGGCTGCTCCGGTTCGCGCCTGCGTAGCTGACCCGGCAATTTCTATAAAGCGCGCTCGTTCGAAAAACTAACGGACAATTATTATTATTATTATTATTATTATTATTATTATTATTATTATTATTATCGTTATTATTATTATTATTATTATTATTATTATTATTATTATTATTATTATTATTATTATTATTATTAGTTGTTGTTGTTGTTATTGTTATTGTTATTATTGTTATTATTATTATTATTATCGCTCATTTTTACCTGAGCATTAGATGACTGGACTGAGGCTCTAGAGCTGTAATGGGCAAGACCAGTGGCTGGGACTAAATATAATATTGGGCACATTAAGTAGGCACGGGATTAAGTATAAAATTGCATCTCGCGCGCCTCGTCATCCCAATTTATTTAAAGAAATTTGACAGTATTCAGTATAATTTGAAAATTATAAAATTCATTCGGCTATTATTGTTATATAATGGTCTTATCGTTTATCGTCCTACTGTTATTATAGTCTAATTTTAGGGGGACTGCATAGTCAAGATACGTTACTCGTACTATTTCATTTTAACATCTATTTCATTTATTAAATTTCATTTGTTAAATTTACAATAACTCTATCAAATCTTCGCTATTTTTTTTTAAATCCACTTTAAAAAACAATTAATCAGCATATATTGTGTAACTACCTTATACGTCTGTTGATTTATCAAAATTTCAAACGGTAAATACTATGCCATACGTATTAGTTATGTAAGTCAACGATGCAAAAGGTTACCAATACAATGTATTTATGCGCGTGTACGCACGCGCACGCGTGTGCGTGTTCCTGCGTGTGTGTGTGTGCGCGCGGGCGTGTGTGCACGTGATTTGAGTAATTTAAAATATTTGCATAATAGCATTACTAAAATTTTATCTCTTTTAATACAAAACACTTTATAAATCATATTAACTGCTATAACTATATTACTGCAGATAATTACTACAGATAATAAAAACAACTATATTAGAATTATTTGATTATATTAAAATATACATTAATCTTCGAATTCAAAATATGGAAGTGACATGATAAAACACGAATACGTATTTTCATTTAATATATAAAAATACTCTTAATATTGTCATAGATAAATACATCTTTACATCCATACATAAATATTCATGTATGCGTACATATGCATACACTAAGGTATGCAAATATACGATTCAATGAGCAAATTCATCTCTTCAATTGTATTAATTATGTTACACATACAAAAACACAGATATAATTGTTATATATATTCTTTATTATTTCTTTAATTGTAATCATCTATCAAAATGTGCAGCTAACGGCATTAAAAGTTTATTAATAATTTTTCTCACATTACTTATTAATGGATTTACATTTGAAATTTAATTTTGCATTCAATTTGTCTTATTGGAAAAATTTATGTTCACTAACTTACGATAATGAATTCAATCGATTATTTATAAATCATTTGTAAACAGTATAGTAATGGCAATACTTCAATTCATTATTTATATTTATTTACATTTTGATATAGAGGAACATTATAAGAAAAAGTTTATTATTATGTGGAATCTTGAAGACGAATTTGTCGTTGTAAAACAATTCAAAATAATTGTCCAACAAATAATCGTTAATTGGATAAATAGCTTAAATACTCATTTTCAAAACAAAAATTACGTATTCAGACGAAAGTCATTGTACGTTGCAATATTCTTTTAAAATAATAAACATTCAATTAGTATTTTTAAAGTAGTATTATACAAAGTAAATATCTTCTTTCAATTGTACTGATAGCTTATTATATACATTAAAAACAAAAAAAAATAAAAAAAAAAACAAAAAAAAAAACAAAAAACAAAAAAATCAATCCTTAGGTAATTAATAAGAATTCTGTATTATTTATTATTGTCTTATAAAAGATGAATAATAAAAATATATGATTATATTTAATATAATAAAAAATAACTTAATTTTTTATTTAATTACTCGAATAAAAAATATTTAAAAAAAAATTAATTTTCATTCTAATTTTTTACTAAGAATTTTTTTTTTTTTTTATGTACTCGATAATTGTTACAGCATAAACGCTTAAAAAAATGTATTATTTGCCTATTTTTAAAAAATGATTTGGCAAACCCATATTATGTCCACATAATTGTTATATAATAAAGAATAAAATCCCATTGAGTTAGCTTTCCAATAAAATTATCTATATGCAATGCACATCATTACTTTCTAAAACATTATAATTTATTAATCAACACTTCTTATTACATTAAGCTTTCTAGTATAGCAATTTGGGTTATGAGAAATAAAATTATTTCAAATATAAAAGATATAAATATATAAAAATTAATAACTAGCGAATAATTCATCAATAGGAATTATTAAATAATGAAAATTGTAATAAGAATAAATATTATCTCTTTTATGATCGCGTTTGAAATTTTCATATTACAAATATAAATAGACAAAATGTAAATGGGAATTTTTTTTACTAAAGATAATCACAATCCTCTAAAATATTATGAAATTTATAAAATGTAATTGTTTAAGTTAAATAATATTTACCGTTAGGTAATTATTTAATTATATAAGAATTATTTTTTTTTTTTTTTTTTTATCTAACAATACATATATGTATAATGAAGAAATATTGTAAAATGGATGATATTCCCTTTAGTGCAATTAATATCTGCAAGCCTAAATTGATTGTATGATTTTACATATAAGGCAATAATATTATTGCTCAATAATAGTAGCACGTGACGAATATCAGCTTGTCTTTTTTACAATTGAGATGTGCTCTAAATGATAATTATCTTTAAATGAAACAAGTATGCTTTAGCATGAATCATAATCGGATTACCTTGAAGTATAATAAAATTAATAGGGATATCCATTAAATTCTATAAAAAATTTAAATACATTGATTGAACAATTTTTATTTAAATAATAAAAGGTATTAGTATTTATATACAAATATCGATGAATATTTTATATTAAATAATATAGATTGTTTAAATTTATAATGTAAATTGTCAAGTAACAAAGCAGTAGTGGTAGTAGTAGTAGTAATAGTAGTAGTAGTAGTAGTAGTAGTGGTAGTAGTAGTAGTAATAGTAGTAGTAGTAGTAGTAGTAGTGGTAGTAGTAGTAGTAGTAGTAGTAGTAGTAGTAGTAGTAGTAGTAGTAGTAGTAGTAGTAGTAGTAGTAGTAGTAGTAGTAGTAGTAGTAGTAGTAGTAGTAGTAGTAGTAGTAGTAGTAATGGCAATGGTAGTAGTGGACGTTGTAATGGCATTAGTGGTAGTAATGGCCATAATTATTAACATTTTTAAATATTTATTTATACGTGACAAATTAAAATATTATTAAAATTTTAAATAAATTTTGGTGAGATAAAACTTTTTATCGTTACAAATTTCACGACCTCTTGTAAATACTTTACAATTAATAAACTTTAATTAAAAGCTATTTACTTCCTATGTGTCATAAGTATCACTCAAAATGTTATTATTTAATATTTAAACATTCTATTATAAACATAGAAA